TTGATGGACGTTGGCCACACGAGGGAAAGAGGGGCTGGAAGAACAAGATCAAACAGGTCAGTCATGGAACTTCGACCTTGCCTTCCTCTACTAACTAGCTCTTAGCTTGCCGAAGCAGGATGGAAATACACGCCTTCCCTCGAGTACAATGATATGGCAACCTGCACCTACTGCGAGCTTGCTCTGGACGGTTGGGAACAAAACGACAAGCCCATGTACGTCCCCTGAGTGTTGCGTTCGCAAGCATTATCTGACCCAATTATAGGGACGAACACTTCAACCGATCCCCCAACTGCCCGTACTTCGCTTTAGTAAATCAATACGCTTCCACGAGAAAGCCGAAGGGCAAGGCCGCCCGAGGCTCAAAGAACACGTCGAGACTATCCGTACAGTCAGTCGCGACATCGATTTCCGATATCACATCCATAACAGACGTCCCTGCGGAGTTCGATGACAGTGTCTTGACAACGGCCTCCACAATGGGCGGCAAGAAAGGCACCCGTGCCAAAAAGGCCACCACGACAAAAGCCAGAAAGACCAAGGCAAAGAAGGATGAGCCTGTAGAAGTTGTCGAGGATGAGGCCATGCCGGAAGAAGACATTGGGCTACCCCCATCGAAACCTACCCGAGGGCGCAAGCGCACGAGCGACGACGTGGATGATTCGGCGCTCACAGTCTCTGAGGCACCTGCACCAAAGAAGCGTGGAGGACGCGGTCGGCCCAAAGCAGCCGCTGACAGCTCGACCATCGATCAATCACAACAGGACATCAGCATTGCGGATGCGCCGCCGCCGACGAAGGCACCAAAAGGCCGCAAGACTGCACGTGCTTCTGGAACGAAGGGAACACGGAAAGCCTCGGGGACCTCACAAAGGTCAAACGCATCAATGGCGTCCCTGCGAACTGCACCCGGCGCATTCCCCGAGGATGACGATGAGATTACCAGGCAGCTTGAGGCTGACCTGGAGCGTCCGCTGACGGACGATGAAGATATCATGCAAGATTCCGATTCGGAACGAAAGAAAGCTCCTGCCCCCAAGGCAAAGTCAAAGAAGAACCAATCGAACAAGGAGTCTGGTGTCAGCCCTGAGCCGTCAGACAACCACGAGATGTTCGACGCGGAACCGTACGTGGCAGATGAAAAGGATGTTGACGACGAATTGAAGCAACTGGAGGCCGAAATGACTATAGATGAGCCTGAGGTTCTGGAAGTTCCCAAAAAGGGGCGCAAGGCTGCAGCTCCCCGCAAGGTGTCTAAGCAGACCAAGGCTCAGAAGGCCAAGGCCGCGAAAGTGGTCGTCGAAGAAGACGAGCTAGTGGTTCCAGCAGAGCCCAGCCGCCTCGAACAGCCTGCTGATATTGAAGAGGATGAGATCAGCACTGCCACGGTGATCACGACAAAGCCTGCTCGCGCAAGCACTGGGAGGAAACGGGGGCGCCCTTCAAAGGCGTCATTGGCGGCGCGTGCATCCATGGAAAGCGCTGGCAAGGGTGAAGAGATAGAAGCTATCGAGCCGGAGGCTGCAGCCGCTACTGCTGAAGTCGAGCCGGAACCTGAAGCCCAGGCTGAGCCTGAAGCTGAGATCGAGACTGAAGCCGAGGACACGTCAGCGCGTCAGTCTTTTGCTTCGGCACGGCAAACGCCCGCACCAGTGGAGCCTCAAGACGAGCCTGAAGAGGAACACGAGGAGCTGGAGGAACCAGAGCAAGAGCTCCCCGATGAGCTTGCAGACGAGCCGGAAGAGGAAGAAGAGTCCGAGTTGGAGCAAGTAGACGAGCTTGGACCTGAGCCTGAGTCTGAGGCACCTGAGCCCACACCAAGGAGCGCACTGAAGACGAGCTCCCCGCCACCGCTATCATCGCCTGTTCTCACCTCATCTGCTCGCCGGAGTGTGCAACATCAATCAGGTACTCCACGTATCTCTCCTGCCCAGTCAGCTCGCCAAGCGGCTGTTTCGCCCTCGCCATCTCCGCAGTCTTCAGATGCCGAGAACCAGCCTCCGTCTTCAAGACCTTCCACAACTCAAAAGCGGGTGACACATGCGCCTATTTCATCAACCCCAGCAAGACCTAACTCGCCAACCAAGCGCAAAGCTTTGGCAAGTCTCCAAAGCACCACGCCCTGGAACCCCGTCGATATTGACCTCGTCTTCGGATCCCCTGAAAAGTCGGACAAGAGGAACCCAGTCGACAGGCTCCTTCATAAAGGCAGCGAGCTGACAAGCCCTGAGATGCGCATGACAGTGGAGGAGTGGATTCACCACAACGCCAACCAGGCTGAGTCGAAGCTGCGACAAGAGTGCGAGGCTATGGTTAGCAGGTTCGAGAGCGAGGGGAGCAAGGCAATGAACGTCTTGGAGGGCTTGATTATAGACTGAGTGTTTGCATAGCGTAGTTTCGTTGGGAGCACCATTCAAGGGTTAATGATTGGACTATGATCATGATACAACAACAGACAACTAGTGTGTGCGCTTATCAACAGGCCCAGTCGGCCGTTGGTAATTGGATCGGTGCAAGGCAGCAAGGTTGAATAATGACACTTTCGACCGCGTTGGGAACAGAAGAGGCAATGATTGGCTCTTGAGCATTTGCACACAAAAGGAGAATTGCAAAGGGGAAGCGTATTGTTCTGACAGGCAATTGTCATTATTATTATTGATTTTTAAATAATGAGGGTGTTTGATCTAATCTATGTTCATTAAGAAATCCCCTCTTGAAAATTGTTGTTTGGAATGTTTCCTCATTCGTCTAATTCATGATCCCAGTGGTATCGTTTCCGGCATGTCAATGTTTCATTACTTGCTCGCTGCACCCACTACTGTCCTTCACTTCATTTTGATGTTGTTTCTTCTTCAACACTATCATGTCGTCATCTCCATGATGAGCATGATCTAGGTGCAGTGCTGAACGCCGTCAGCGTGAGTGTGGCACTCCTGAGGAGCGCTGGAGGTCGCAGCGGCAGTGGTGGTAGCGGCGCCAGCAGCAGCGGTAGTGGTAGGCGTGGCATCGTGGTCGTGGTCCTCCTCAAGCTCGCCGGGGCATCCGACGCCAGGGGCAGCGATATCGTAAGCCCAGACGTCAATGGCGAAGTACTGCAGCGCGTCGCTGTCGAAGACGGAGTAGGTGGCGTTGTTCTTTGCGAGCTCGAGGGCCTCGGCGTAGTCTTCGGCGTAGTGCTCGACGGCGCCCTCGGAGATGAGAGGAACGTGGAAGACGCGGTGGAGGAGGTCGGTGGCCCAGAAGGTGTTGAGTTTGGAGTTGGCGACGTTGTAGCCCAGGCCGCAGACGGAAGTCAGGGGGCGGCGGATTTCAAAGGAGAGAGGGCAGATGACGGTCTCCTGGGAGGCGTTGGCGCCGCGCCAGTGGCCCGCCCAGCCGGACTGGGTGGCGCAGTTGCGGTCCGGGTCGTCGCAGCGGAAGGTCATGCCGTTCTTGTCTGCGTTGACGACGCGGTCGTACCAGCCGACGGGGGTGGCGGTGGACGAGTTGCCAAAGTACTTGCGGACGTGCTCGGAGCTGTTGCCGAAGCGGAGGATGTGGTCGCGGGCGTGGGCGGCGAGCTGCTGGGCCTCGGCGAGGCCGACCTCGAGCTGGGCGCGGAGGGTCGAGTTGCAGGACTGGTGGATGGGGAAGGTCTTTTGCCAGCCGGCGGACCAGTCGTAGGGGGCTTGCGGGGTTGAGGCCGGTGCCGCGGGGACGGAGACGGTCTCGGAGGTGGAGGAGGACGCCTGGCGGCGGGCGAGGGGGGTCGCGTCCGTGAGGGCGGAGAGCAGCAGGGCTGCGGAGGCGAGGCTGTACTTCATCTTGACTGGTGTATTTTGAGGCTGAAAAGCTTGAAGATGCTCTGGTAGACGGACTGCTGAAAGCCTTGTTGAATATGAGCTCGAGCTTTGGACTTGGAGCTTAGGAAACAGCTTGAAGATAGGAGCTTGACATTGAAGAATGCGAGGTATGTGATGGTCTTTTATATCTGCAGGCTCGCCATGTGGATGAGAATTTTCTCTGTCGGTCCCGTCGCCTCGGGTCTCCAATGGTGCTCGAGAGGCTCTTCGAGATGTCGAGCCAAGACCAGCTAGCCATGCTATGCTTGCTTTATGGGTAGATTCGTTACTCATGTCCACAAGTAGGCAAATCCTTCCATCCTAGCCAGGTTGCAAAGTCCGTTGGGCATGCGCTACCCCGTCTGGTCCCCCTTCCTCCGAAATCTGCGTTCGTCGCCAGCCATCTCTGCCGCTCGTTGCAGTTGGGTAATCCCTTCATCTTTCCCGGTTCCCCTCTCGTCGTATGCTCGTCAACAAGTTCCTTTGATGCAAAGGATCCAATATTACGCAAGTGGAGCCCATGTCGTCGGTCACGATTGCCTTCTTAGAACACTCTGGGCCATGCGTGAGGTATTAGTCGGGTGTCGCCAAGGCGTGGGCAGCTCTGTGCCAAGCTCACGATCACCTTGATGTTCTCGAGGTCGATTGGCCAATGGACCACACGGCGAATGGCAAGTCTCGGTCGTAAAGACTCGACTCCACGGCCAAGAAGTGCTAAGTCGTGTTGGCTCGTGAATTCGGTGACGTTGGGGCGGACTTTTACAGCTGGAAGCTGAGTCGCCCGGTGGCCATCCGGGTTCTCGGACCCCCGCTCGACTCGGAGGACATCAAGGTGTCGGAACCGGGGTCCGGCATAGACCCGCTTTTTGTTTTGTTTTCGTTCCCTGGTTTCCCGCCCCGCCTCGGTCGTCTGTCCTTCTTGTTTGCCATTGTTGGGCTTTTGTTCAGCTTGTGGGCTGCATGCTTGACAACTTTGTCTAACAACTGACAAGTGTAACCCTACATGTTCCTTTCCCCCTCCCTCTACACAAGACCAGCCACGCGATGTGATCAAGACAAACCACTCTCATGGACAGCGGAGACCCCGAGACAGTTCATTGGCATTTCCAGCCGCTTGGTAATACTAGTATCTAAGTGGCTACGTTGTGGCATGCGCGAATAGCGTTGGCGGATGTAACTCTATTGCGTAAAGTAGGCGTCGAACACCTGCAGGACCTTGCTTCCGTCGCGGGGGTTCCCGTTGTTCAGTCGTTGGTCGTAGTCCAGGAGCGCGGTTTTCGCCTTCAAAACTTCATGGCTGCGACCGGTTCTTGCCTTGAGGGATTTATGGATTCCTTGAGCAGGGTATGCGACGAGTCCAAACATTGCTAGGCAGGCAGCCGGGTTAGCTTAGACCGAAAACTCTTGCCAAACATGATCTGCTTTAGGTGATGTCAGTCAAAGTTTCGTTACTTACCAGCTCCTGGCTTGAGAATAAGGCCGAAGGACCCCGTGGCAACTCCCTTTGCTAGACCAAGAGCACCTCCTTCCTTCGCGCCTTTGTAGGGATCGGTGAAGACACCCGTCAGTCCGTCATAGAATCCGGTTCCAAAGGTCTAAGTTCACGTTAGCTGTAGGCTCGGATGATCTCATCTGATAACCAGCTTTACCTTTGCGGCTACAACTCCTCCGCTCTTCCAGTCTTCTACCTTGCCATTGTCTCGTACCTTGTCGCCGTACAGATTGGGAGCGTTGTGAAGGCCTTCTGTGATGGCGAGGGGCATGCTCACAAGGCCGCCCTTGACGATCGCTCCAGACATGGAGGCAAATCCCTTACCCACAGCCATTGCGGCTGCACCACTCGCCGAGCCGGCCTCATTACCAGACGCCCGAGAACGCTTGTATTCCTTCCATGGATCGATGAAGGTGCCGCCCAGAGCGACGGTGAAGTCGGTGACGGTGCCTAGGAGTGAAGAGGCACCACCGGTGATGGGATCCCATCGTTTCACATCGGTGTCGTATTCCTTCGTTCGCAGAGGCTTCAAGTCAGACATCTTTATCTTCTTCGCAACAATCAGAGACGATGCTGCTTGATTCGACAGTCTCATCCGCTTGGCGCCCGTTTTGGACTGCTTCTCAAATAGCCAGGCGGCGCGCTGACCAGAAAGTAGATCGCAGCCGAGATCGCTGGCAGGAATGTTACGATGGAACGATGCTGTGGCGGTATCGACGCCGCGTTCTCGACGCATGGCGCTGGCTACTTCTTGGACCGCACGATTTGCTTCGGGCGAAAGACAATACTGAATAGCCTCCACGAGCTTCTGCGTGTGGAGCTCCCTTTGAGGAATCGGTAAGGGTCCTGCTCCTGACTTTGCAATGACCCGGCCCCAAAACGGCTGGTCGCCGAAGAACGGCACGATGATAGTCGGTCTCGCGTTGATCAGGCCACAAGCTGTCGTTCCAGCTCCTCCATGATGCACCACGGCTGACACTCGTTTGAACAGCCACTCGTGTGGGCAATCTCCGAGATAGAACACGCTGTCTGTGTTTGACTTTCCCTCGCCGAGCTTGCTCCATCCTCGCGAGATGATGACACGGATGCCGCAAATACCTGCGGCCTCGAGGATGACGTCTGTCAAACGCCCTGGGTCGTCGATAACGATACTACCGAACCCAACATACAATGGAGGCGGACCGGCTGAAAGAAAGGCGTTCAAGTCGGCAGGTGGCTTGTAGGACGGCTCGTCGCGCATGAAGAAGCCGCAAACGTCAATTTCTGGACCCCAGTCTGCAGGCTTGGGAACCACGGCCGGTGACCAGCAGTATGTGTGCGGGATCTTGAGAAACGTTGTCACGCCTGGACCCATGCTGGCAGGAATCGGCGCGAGCTGGAGATCCTTCCTTCGCCAGTTGTTGATAACATCGCCCAGACCCTGCCAGGTCATCAATTCGACGACTCCATACGACAGCCAATTGGTGACCTGTAGCTCCAGGTCCTTGCTGCGTTGGATGTTTGCTAGTGGGTGAGGGAAAGCACGAGTCGCTGTCCAGGGCATGGTGAACATGATGTGAGCTGGAATGCCGAGGGCTTGCGCACAATGCACATGGGCGAAGCTTGGGGGGTTCGCGATGATGGCGTCGGCTACGAACGGTCGGTTGCTGATGGGATCAGGATCAATGCAGGAACGCCAGCATCCGTGGAGCATTTCACGTATCATTCGTCGTTTCTTCCCCACATCGCCGCCCTTAAGAGACTCCATGGAAGGAATCAGACCAGGATTTCGGACCATGTACTTGGTATTCGTTAGTGGCAAGCGCAGGACATGGAAGATTCAAGGGGAAAACACAAGACTTACCGACATCAAGTCGGCGGGATCTCCGCCAATCGGGAAGAACTCTAAGCCAGAGTCGATCACGAATTTGGAAAAGGTGTCATGCGTGGCTAGGCGAACCCGATGGCCGTAACGACGGAGAGCTGTGCCAAGTGCTATGAATGGCTGAACGTCACCTGGTTACACTGACATTAGTAGGCAACATCCACAAGTCAAGCTTCACGGTCATTTTCCGTGAGGAACTCACCCCGGCTACCTACAACCTGTATCACGACGTTAAGGAAGGGTACGGGCTTGAGGTTGATGTTCGGCAACGCAGTATCCTCGGCTGCGGGGAAAGGGGGAAGCTGCTCCCACAGTTCCCCTGGGTTCTGCGACTGGAAGTTGATGTTCACATGGCCGTCAGCTGCTTAAAGGTCAGTCTCAAGTACGGAGTATGCAAAGGGGCATGCTATTCTGACACTGAATTGCAGCCTCGCTAGATAACAGCGCACCGGCGGAGTGCAGCTCGTATGGAGGAGGGACGTTGCAGAGAGATTCGGCGTCCTCCGTCTCGGCAGTCGCCAAAATTCTTTTCGAGTCCACAATAGACATGTTTTCCGTAATTGGCAAAGTGGCAGTTGCAGCAATGGACAATCAGAGTATGATGCGAAAGGGCGTCGATGAATTTATACGACATCATTGAAGATTCGCGCCGAAAACAGTAGATTTGACGATGGACTTGGGTTTGCGTAAGCGGCGCTGGAGCGGAGTTTTCTCTACATCGCCGGAACGCCGTTTGAGGCTGATGCCGGACCGCAGCATGTTAGTGGCTCGCATTGTACGCGTGTTCGCTCTTTCTCGTTCTTTACAAGCAAAGCTGGTATTGGAATTCCACCGTTTCGGCATTGCCGTTGTTGAGAACCCATCGCGCTGCGAATAATGCGGATAGTGACACGGGTTTCCGAGTTTACGAGGTGCTCGCAATGCTCGGGCTCTAATGATGAATGAGACGAAGTTGCGATGCTTTCGTATCAGTTTCGGGTGACGAATCCCTACTTTGAGACGAACAGCCACATTTTCATCAGCCACATATCGAGAAAAATCAGCCACCGTACAGCAAGTGGCTCGTGCATTGGCTGAGCTCACGTGATGATTCGATGACTGATCATGGATGAGGATGATGCTTAATTCTTTTCTCTCCTTTTGAGGACCTCGGAAGTAATTATCATTGTGCAAGAACCACTAGGTAGAATTCGTGTATCCATAGTACGGAGACCCCACGGACGCGGCTTGGCATGGCATTGACAGCATGACTGACATGACATGACTGACCCTTGGCACGCCAAATTGGCGTGTAAGACGTTAATCGACAGGGCTGTTTAAGGTTTCGCGGACCAAAACTCTAGGGAATGAGCCGCTAAATATAATCAGACGAAGCAACGCAGGTACCACTCGGGCGGGACGAACACGTCGTTGAGAACCACTTTCACCGTGGTTTCCACGTTGAATAAGGACAATCTCCCAATCTCTCTGCTGGACCGATCGATCATCCCACGAACGGTTTATTCGATCTCACTGGATCAGCAAGGCAATCCCATCATGGCCAACGAAGCACCACCAACCGCTATTTTGTGGGACTGGGATCAGTCAGATCTCACGGCAGCCATCGAGGACATGCGACGACTGTTAGGCAACGCATCACATCTTGCTGCTATCAGAGAAGTCACACTGCGCGGTGTGAGAGCTGCGAGAGACCCTCATGCCGCGTTACTTGCGAAACGTCTCACTTCAAGCGATAAGGCTACCATCCAATCGTGGATCACTGAGTCCCGCCTGCCGGCTGAACGAACTGAGGCACTCTTACAAGAATCAGAGCTTTCGCTTGCACAAACCACCGCCATTCTGTTATCGCGGCCCCCAGCCCTAAAGACGCTTGAAGTGCAGACGTACGATCGGAACGATCACGACGAATGGACACAATCTCGCCCACTCGGGGATGAGTTCCTGACTCTTCTGAGCCAATTAGTCGCTTCGAACTGTGTTGCTGGCTCTTCTTTCAGCAATGTGGAATCAATCAAGGTTCTGGTTCCAACCCCTGACGGAGATTCGGCAAACGAGTTCAACTTCTACGTGTACGCTGAGAATATTCTCCCCTTCTTGTACCTTCCGCAAATTCGAACTCTTGAGCTACATCGAGTGGAAGATGGAGGGAAATCAATCATCTGGCCAACTCCCCATCCAAAGCCATCAGCAGCTACACTAGAAGAGCTGGTTCTAAGCAGATGCCAGCTCTCCGAGGAGAATGTTGGCCAACTCTTGCGAGCTTCCCCGAATCTCAAGACATTCCGTTGCGGATACGTTATCGACGCTGAGTACGCGTCCGACTGGGTAGACTTAGAGGTGCTGAGGAGTTCGCTCGACCCATTGAAGGCATCACTCGAAGAGCTCTCTTTTGCGCTGACGCTCTGGACGTCCACGGCCATCGATTGCGGCGAGGTCGGGCCCTGGGGAATCCGCGGCTCATTCGGGTCACTCAAGGACTTCACGCGACTAACTCGTCTCTCCATCTCTCTGCCGGTACTCCTCGGCTGGGAAACAAAAGGCTCGTCGAAGCTGGCGGATGTGCTCCCCGAGGGCCTCCAGGCTTTGACCATCACTAACGAAATGTTCTTCTGGTGGCACTATCGATGGGACGACCTCGATTGGGAGGAGGATGACCCGGTGGTTCCCATGTGGCAGTCACTTGAGGCCGAAATTGTCGAGTACCTAGAGAGCCGGCCCCGGCACTTGAGGGAACTGAGGTTGGAGATTTCAATGGTTGGCGAAGAGCAACGGGCAGAGGAGCTGAAGGCCAACTTGATCGCCAGGGGATCGGAAGCTGGAGTAACAATTACAGTGGAGTTGAGGCCATAGATATGCAAGCTATTAGAGACCTGTTACTATAAGAGTATGATTCTGATACCCAGCTACCTTAAGAGGTTTACGCGTCTGCCTTTTCTTTCTGCATCGACATTCACAACGGCGTGCCTGAAGCCAACACCACCGGGAATATCACAAGATGGGACAAGTGTTTGAACTAATGAAGTATTTTGGCAGTAGACTAAGTAATATATCTGGACCAATGAGAAGAAAGAAAGGCTCAAGTTCGCTGGTCAAATCTCCCCCGCAACGACCATCGTTATTATTCACGCAACCTCCGCGACACGTCTAGCACGGGCATCCATCACCGCCGCCACAAGCATTGCAATCAGAGTGGTGCTGGAAGTTGCAAACAAACACACCAAGACCGCTCGCGCCACCCAAGCAGTTCAAGCACTTGAGCGCAGCAGCCTGACAATTCGGCAGCACGCCGGGGATCGTCTCAGGCATAGACGGCGTGCTCGGCACAGGAACAGCGCAACCAGCAGCCTCCGTGGCACCAAACTCCTTGTCGCCGACCGTCGCGGCATTATCCTCTGCCAGACGCCACATGACGAGGTTCGCAATCACGGCGTGGCCGCCGGGACGCGGGTGAAACACCCTTTTGATCTCGTCGCCGATGAAGTCAGAGACCTCAATGTTGTTGCGGCCCCTGAAAGCTGGGTCCGCGGCGCTGTTGTCAGCGAGAGAGATGACGAGGCTTGAGTTGCGTTTGCGCGCTTCCGTGATTTGGTCGGCAATGTACTGCTCCATTGACGGCGAGGCAGCCGTGCCCTGGCGGACTTCCAGGACGGGTGTCTTTGTGTTAGACTTGGTGGTTTGTCTGCGAGGGAAAGAGCTCCAGATTTGTCCGGCGCGCTTGGAGAGGATGGACAAGAGGCCCAGCTTGCTACTGCGCATCTCCAGAGACGAATCAACGTCGCCAATAGTGGGGGTCGCACGAGGAAGCATCTGGTCGTTGTTGAAAGATGCGACCTCGGGCTCACGTCTCGCGAGGGTGGTATCGTCGTTCTTGCTAGACCACTCGAAGAAGAGAAGACCATCGCGGTTTCCGTTGGGCTCCTTGGTGGCACCCTCGCAGAAACGGCCCTGAAGCACGGAGAAGTACTGGTTGTAGTCGACAAATTCGAACGAGGCACCGGCTCTCCTGACCGCGGCCTCGATGACGTTGTTGACGGCAGTAGTGAGCTCGTTCATCAGCGTTCTGCGCTCAGTGGTGAGCTTCTGCTTATTGGCGCTATTGAACCAGAACGACCAGCTGACGTCGTCGCAGGCAGTCGTGGTGTTATCGAAGAAGTTGGCGTAGCCCGTAACGTAAATCTTGCGGCCCGGGTTGATCTTGTTCTTGAGACCAGCGTACAGCTTGTCCAAGTTACCCGGCAGAGTATCGCGGATGAGGTTCAGCGTGGCCTGCATCTCGTCGGGGCAGTTGGCAAATGGGTTCCACTGGAAGATGCAGGCGTTGAGAATGCTGGTGAGGCCGACGTCGTTGCCGCCAGCGCTGACGGTGATGATGTCGTAGCCGGTGCCCAACGCGGAGACCTGATTGGCAAGGATCTCGGGGGCGGTGGCGCCGGAGCAGGCAAGAAACTCGAATTGAGCAGACTCGGGCATAAGTTCGTGAGATTGCATGTAGGCTGGGTACGACTGGTCGTAACGAGCGCAGGTGGTTGAGCTGTTGGGGTACGGCGAGCCGGAGCCAATGCCGGCGGAGCTATTATCAAAGACAATCAAATTAGAATGGTGAGCGCTGGCCATCTGGATTGATGGGAACTCACTAGGAATCGCCAATGGCAGCCCACTTCTTCACCCATGAGAGGTCATAAGGGTCTGCGGGAGCAGGCTGAGCGGTATCCCAGCCCTGATCGCAGAAGCAGGTACCTCTGTTAGATAGGCAGGTTAGTTATCATTGACATTGTTGGATCATATGAAGAGACTTCAACTTACCCTTCACCACACCATGCGCCACCACGATCGGTGCCACATTTTGTGAGGCAAGGTGACTGATCAGGGCAGCTGAAAACACATGTGTCTTGAACAATCTCCCTGGAACAATGTTAGGACTTGTAGAAGACGTGTTATAATATGATGTACTCACTCAGCAAACTTCTGGACCTTGAGGCAACGATGAGGTGCAGTAGAATCTTTCAGGCACTGGTCAAAGTTGGCCGTGCTGCACTGATCGATAGCTCCAAAGACCTCCTCGGCCGTTGAGTCGCTCTGAGCAAGTGCGAGCCCGGCAAGGAGCCCGAGGCTCAATGTGTAAGCCTTCATGTTTGGCTAAGAACAAAAAAGAGTGACTTTGAAATCAGAAGCACAGGTTGATGCTGAATGAGTGGAATGGTTTGCTCAAAACCCCAAACAAACCCATCAACGACACGGTGGTGGTTGCATGACTATAACTGCTGTTGCGACATGAACCATTCGCAACTTGTCTCCGCGCCAAGCGGGCTGCAATGTATGATGAATCTGGAACATCTCAAAGTGCCTTAGTCTCTATTCCCTTAATTAACTCTAAGCGTCTTGTCGTGGCGGTGCGTACCGGTGCTCGGGCCGAAGAGCGAGTCAGTGTCGTCAGGTATCGTACGGACAGTCGCCGACTACATACGGAATACGGACATCATAAATGAAGCAAAGGCCCTCGGCAGCCCCGGGCGTATCATATTTCTGCTCGTTATTTCCTTTTACTTTGCTGCCCGCAACAGCGCCGCGGTGGTTGAGATTGACTTTGAGTTTTACGGTTTTACCGCCTTGCCGGCAACCGCGCGCGCCAAGACAAAGGCTGTCACAACATGAGACGAAACTCCTCCGCCCCAAGAGCCAAGGCCACCAAGGTACCCGGGCATACCGTCGTTATTACCTGCCCACTGATATGTATACTCGTATATCTAATAAGCTATACTCTTCTTGTCAATCGCTCTGCCCACACGTGGGTTTCGCTCCCAGCGTCGCCTACAACCACCGCGGGCGCCGACTCTAATTAGCCTTACTGTTCCTTAAACTCTATCTCCCTTAACGTACTAGATCGGTTCCGTCGGGCAAGTATTTCCACTCCGACGCCGGTTTTGGGGGCTATTATTGGTATGGGTTTGACTTCGACCTTTAATCAACGTCAGGCGAACTAATGGCCCTGGCCAACTCTTGCTGGGATTTTGAGCAAGCTGTCAAATTACTGCCAAGAGACAGTTTAGTTTACAAGTCAGTCACAGAGTTCGGAGCAGTTGTTCGTAAGTCCATCTGACAAATAACTTAACTATGTCATGGGCAACTCAGCCCGGTTTCTGAAAGTACCGTGTGTCTCTCTCACGATGCTATAACCATCGTCGCATCATACTGTCACTCTCTTCAACTCCTCCGCGGTTTCGCGTCCATTCATTCCTGATCCGGCCCTCCGCCCTTACACTCTTTTGCTAGTCTATCACTGGAAGTCCTGCTCCAGAATCTGAAGTAGTCTCAAAGTAATCCACGATGTGGTTCAACGCCGGTGGTAGCTGGGGAGCCAGCCTCTCATCACTCTTTTTGCTCTTCACCCTCATCCTCAACGTCGCTGCTCAGACGTTTGGAATCACCCTCGACAAGGCCGCGCGCGACGATGCACAACGTTTCGTTTACTCCGCCAAGCTCACATTTGAGCAAGACACCGGAACGCTCTTCAACGACGGTCAGCTCTACGGGCTCGCTCGCGCAGCCTTCAACGAAATGCAGACAAAGTTCAATGCGGATAAAGTCCGCTTCAACAGACAACCCGTCATGATGGCCGCCATGGCCCTCGGCAAGGACGTCTATCTGTCTTCCAACCTGAAGGGTGGGCCCTTCTTGTATACCTATGCGGACTCGCGTCTTAAGCCTCAGGTTGTCGTTGCGCTTGAGCGATGCCAGACTAGTTTGCAGGACGCGGCAAGGCGTGGCACCACCGTTGACAAGCAGCACCGAACCCAGGCCAGCTGCGCCGAAGTTGCTGCTGTCCATCAGGTTAGTCCTACTCTGTCTAGACATGATATCCAATCACCCCGATCAATAACATACTGACGCTTCCTCAGTACTATTTGGACGACGCCGTTACTGAAGCTGCTCGCAACGACCCTCCTCCAACACGCATTGTCGCCTATGGCAAGGCTGGTCAAGACGGTCCCATTGGACGTAAGTCGACTTGTTGACGGAATATGTGAGAGTGGAAAAAAGATTACTGACTTTCTTCCCTTACAGCTCAAAATGCATGCGGTGGTGGCGATGTTGTGAAGAACGGAGTCCTCACTTGGGGATGTAAACAGTTCATGGCCGATGAGCAGATTACTGTGCCGCGGAAACCGACCAACAACCTCAACTTGAACCTCCCCAATCCCTTCCCTAAGTTTACCACGGCTCAAGTCAGCGTCATGTGCCCTGGGCATAAGAAGCCTTGAGAGTCATACAGACCAATCATGGGAGGGAATGGAAGAGATTAGTGTGGCCGCAGCCATTCTGATTGGCTCTGCCATATTCAATAGGCATTAAAGACTTTTCATACTATCAAGATGTCAGAATAATGTTATTGCAAACATGAATTAGTCTCTGTATAATGTGATTGATCTGAGTTGCATACGAGAGAAGGGCAATGCCTACAATGCATCAGTCGCACTCAACCAAACTAAGTCATGTTGCTTTCAGTGACATCACCTGGCATCACTCAATTTAGAACGCTGTGCTTGTAAAAGCTTGGCTTGGAACGGTCTCCTGCTTGATGTTACCCCCCCCCCCCCCGGCCCGATAGACCTGCCCACGTGCCGCCCCATGTGCCCACGCATCTTCTCGCCTCCGCCCTACAGTGAACTATCTCCCAGCCACTCTGATTTCTTTGGCTTACAATTGGCTGCGCTGCATTCCCGCAGATACATTCATTCGCATGACCGAGCCCTCTTCTCCTCCGATCGGGCATACCTCAACGAGGCCAGCATTCACAGCCGTTCCATGCTTCTCCTTTTGCCGTACGTTGAATCACAACAACCCAGAAAAGAGTCTAACATATGTCTAAAAAACGGATTGATCATTTGTATCGCCATTGCAAAACATCGTGGAGTCCAGTACAAGAATGTGATAGCAGCTGACGGAAAGACAAGGTTTGGCGCCCGACTCTTGGAGGGGCAAACCTTTTGGGCATCCTCACTGGCATCTTGGGCAGATTCGCATGCTGCAGTGTGATAAGTAAGCAGTCGTGGCAGCTTCGAGTGCTGTTGTTGAAGCGTCGTACGCATTGCTGGCTATGCTGTCTCGCACGTCATACATCACCTGGGCCCTTCCATGAATGCACTAGTCAACACCCTCAGCGCCACTCAAGGAGCCGAATCCGTTTCCTTGGAGGCTTCAGTTGTCCTCTCAATCTCTATTTGCACATATGGTCCTCCGTCAACTTGTTACATGTCGATTTCTGCTCTTTTTCAGGTGTTCTTCTTGTTATCTTTGATCTGTGTCGCAAAGCCTTCGATCAAAGTTGTTAATTTCCTAACCCGGCCGCATCTTTCTTTTAGAAGCGGGCTTGACGCGCTTCGTCCAGAGAACGAATGCAGAGCTTCACCCAGCTCGTAGGTCTTGCGTCAGCCAAGACACTCGAAGGCATTCTGACGACGGCTTCCTTGTAGAGGCAATCGTTCCGGAAGCTCCAGCTACACAGGACAGCTCTAAGCATCCCCCCCTCTCTGCCAGTAAGAAGGGCTACCGAAGGGGGTCTCTCGGCCGCGAAGACGATGACTGAAAGAGTCCCTAAGTCGACAAGCGTAAACACCCGCTGCCCTTTCTTGAGAAGTTTGACGATCTCTTCAGAGTCACCCTTGCCCTCGATCCAAGAGGGTTTACCTTCCTGATACCATCTCTTCTCAGGGTCCAAATCTCGTTCATCCGTGAAGAGATGCGAGGCGGATGAGGCGTATCTCAGTCTCCCAATGTGAATGCCAAAAATACGCTCTTCGACCTCCCTGATTGGCATGACGCCTTCGAACCCAACGAGACAGGGGCTGCAACCAAGGAAGGTCCCTGATAGGAAACGATGGACGATGAAAGGTATCCCGACAGCGATGAGGTAGGCAGAAACCGAGCAAATGATAGCCAAAGCTAGCATTGCGGTTGAGATGTTGTTGCTGTCCCCGAGGTCCCGGCGTCCAAATCTGTCGATGGCTTGCCCAAGCCCCATCCACGGTCTAAAGGAAGATTCATTTCCGGAGTCTGGTACTCGTCTAAACCCTCTGGAATAGGAGTTGAGATTCTCTGAAGCAGCATGGCCTGCTCCCGCAAATACAGCGAAAGGAATCATCAGACCCATGAGTGCGGCACTGCCGAGAACCATGACGCGTATAACAATTTTCTTGGCTCCGCCTTGACCGCCATGTACCTTGATACGCGGGAAGTCTTTCCACCGGATGTTGATTGCATGGCAGCCATCAAGAAAGACAGTTTGATCCTCGTCAGCTACACCCACGACCTCGCATAGGGGTGTGATGTGGTGAACAAGGGTACCGAAGCTATCCTTTTCGCAAAGGCTTGTCCAGATCATGTCGTCCGATGAGTGTCTTGGGATATCACTGGAGAGTCTTTGACGAGGAAGAAGGCTGATGATGCGGTCGATAATCTTGTCGCTGTCATTTTTGAGTGACAGATGGGCCAGCGTTTGGAAGAGGGTGGGCTCGAAGCTCGCATCGCGGTCTCGCTCGATTCGGTAGCGGAGAAGTCCCATTGCAGCGTAGGCCATGTCGGATAGGGAATTTTGGTTCCCGGCGTTCCGCGAACTGAGAGCATGCATTGACAACGGGAGAAGCTCAAGGGGTGTCAGAGTGAGCAGCCCAGCAAAGTGCTCAGCCAGGATTCTGGTGGAATTACCGCCCTCCTTGTCCGTCTGACCTTGGGCTATTCCCCAGCATCTTGATGCCAGTTCAACTTTCCGAAAAGTCTGACGTGAATGTTCTGATGAAGGACTAGTGTTCTCATAGTCCCAGGGGCAAAATAAGATTGAGTTTCCAGGGGCGAGAAGGCCTTCAAGAAAAGTCCACATGCGTTTGCCCCATTCTTCCCGGAAATCCATCGGAGTAGAAGGGTTCGGATAGATGAAAGCTACTTTGCTCGAGCCTCGCACAACGTCACAAAGAGTGTAGATATCGTAGTCGGTGATTCTTTGTCCTTCTATCTCTGATATTTGCCCTGCTTGGACGCGACGTCTGATTCCTCGAATGAAGCATGACTCGTCAAGAAAGATTGCGGCGAAGCCTTCAGTCTCTGCAAGTGCTTGAGCAGCTTTGCGATAGTGTGGTTCTTCTCCCTTGTCCCGCGAACCAATGTGGCTGATGAAGAGATACTTAGGACGCTCAAGTAGGTGATTAGTCTCTATCACTTTCCACACACCATCTGGACTTCTAATGAGGAGCTTTTTGGGGTACTCAAGTCGATTTCGAACGTCCAACTCCCGCCGTCTCTCTTGTCGCGAGCACACGCCTGGAGGACCAGGCTTCATGTCGAGTTCGTTGATAGTGAATTTGGGCCAGTTCCAGTGGTGGCCAACAAATCCCTCATAGCCATCCAGAGGGTTTGAGGTGTGCCAGATCATATTACCTGGCCAGAGCATCAGGATCAAGATGGGCAGTGCGACGAGGAGAGCTCGAAGCAAGGCCACGACATGTCGCCCCTGTGACGTCGACATCAAAGGCTTGACTGCCCACCGAGACAGCTGTACAACCAGCGGCGCATGTCCCCTAAGGGGCTGAGAGAGCCAGTCCCTAGGTGCCGCGTCATTGTCTAGTCGATGGCTGGATGTTTGAACCTCCATCTTCCGTGGGCTGAAGCGTGCAGCGCTGAGGTAATTCACCCATTCTTCTTCTCGGACAGTGGATTGCCGGAGAAAGTTTATGTACTCGTACAAAGGAATCTCAACGGATCCACCACCGTTGGTATCCGCATCATCTTTTGGATTTCCTGGGTCGATTCGCGTCTCCTTGAGGTACGGGTAACGGCAAGCAGGCCGGCGCCCATGAGGGCCCCGAATTCCCAATCGAGTATACCATTTCATCTTCACGCTTGCCAATCTGAGAGGATTACTCTGTCAGCGCCAACGTCACAGAACTTTTTCTCATGAACACTATCAGAACATATGATACGGGATCAGCATCAACTCACGAGTGGGTATCTCCTTCACCATCCTGCTGCTTAATCGCAGAAGCCAAAGCTGTGCCGTTGCTCTCCATATTTGTTGATGTGGCAGTCGACCGTAGTTTTTCGCGTCGAGAGTCAGTTGAGAGCTGAGCCAAACTCCGCCGAGTGAGATTGTCAAGGCCAAATGAGTTTAGACAATGTATACCGCGGAGAAGTTGGTATAGTGATCGAATCTTTCGGGGTAATAGCAGATTCAGAATTCTCTTTGGATGGTCTCGAGCGCCAACCTTTAAATTGTCAGGGATGTGACTGGCAGCGCGTTGCTAATTTTGCCTCGTAGCCTGATCTGAGCCTCAAGGTCTCACCTGCAAGCCGCCTCTGTAGGTACTTAATTAGCATTGCCTCCTCAACAAATTAGCATCTCGATTCCTTGACTCATTCGAATCATTGTATCACTAAAGCGCCATCGAAAAGCGGCAAGCTGAAATTTTGATCGGACACGCCGACCCTAAGCCCAGACATTTTCATCATGGTCTGACAAGCCGCAGGCGGCAGCACAAGGCGGACGAATCGCTTCGTCGTCTTCGGACAGGTCGCACAGACTGTTGACCTCCCATGCCCGTTCCATTGGGCAGGAGTTCTGGTTATTGGAATGTTTGGCTGATATATCATGCAGGGAGCCTTTCTCGGTCTGCCTTATCTCTTGGCTGGGTGACGGGAGGAGGCACACCAGCCAGACTTCTGACAGATTGAGGGCAGACAGAAGCCGGAAGGAATATTGGACTTGCTGGAGGCAGGAATCACTGACCGGCTTTGAAGCAAATCATGCTGTGCGTTTCTGTGAAATTCACCGACGGTCTTAAATGATCCGCCATGGCCCCAGTCCTGTCACTAAATCCTGCTTCAGTGTTCTCTTCTAGATGATTCCATTTACACATATCCAGTGTCATACCTCCATCACTTTTGCCCCTGATGTCCGTACACGACAAACAAGCGGGTAACTTCCTGAACTTGGTTCCCACCCACCAAGAACCTACTCCAGCCCCAACAAGCGATGCCGAGGCAAGGCAAACATTATCAGCTGGGCCATCTGAGGCCCAGTGGTTATTCCACAAGGATATCATCATAGGTCTCTATAGGCACACAAACATGAAACAGTTGCAAAAGGAGATGGAGAGCCAGTACATGTTTAAGGCAACGTTAGTCTGTCCGCAGATCCCAGCCGCCCGCTCCTTGGTGCTCAGCTAATTCCACTCTTGGTCTACAGCAAGCGGATGTACGACCGTAGGTTCCG